AAGCTTTAAAGGCAAGATAATGAATACTTTGGTTGTGGACATATTGTGTGCACTGATCAATCTATACCCTGGAAGAGAGGCTGAGCTATAAGTCCAGAAGTCACTGGTATAAAACCTAGCAATTTTTTTTTGGGGTCTGGTCATGGCACCACTTCTGGCTTTTTTCTTTTTTGCTTATGTGGTACTAAGGAATCGAACCCAGGGCCTCATGCATGCAAGGCCAGCGCTCTACCACTGAGCCACCTTCCCAGCCCAAAACCTAGCAAATTTTTAATGACTATAGTTATCCAGAAAGAATTACTTATATGAGGAAAAGGAGAGTCTGAGATACAGTATAGTGGAGAAGAAAAGTTCAGAGGCTAAGGATAAGGAATTTCAAAGTAGCGAAGAAAAGCAGAGTAATTAGAAGGCCAACTGGAAACTTAAAGTAGCTTCAGTGTCATTGTTGGGGGCAGAATAGTCCGGGTTCTCCTTTGAGATCCTGTTTGAAAGGCAAAGACAACTCTTCCTTGCTGGTTTAAGTTGATGAGATCTAACTATGCTCACATACTAGAATGGAGTAAGTGTATGTACCTAGAGAACCCTAACTTGTTAAACATAGAAATAAAAGTATGTAAGGAATATGGATGAGAGCCTAATGGCAGAGCATTTGCTAGGCCTATGTGAGGCCCTAGGTTTAATGGAATAGCCTGAAAAGAAAAGGATTAAAGGGCCAAGAACAAGCTCATTCCTTAGTGCCGTAGGAAGGGATGAGCTTCAGATACCTGTAGAGGGCCAGACTTTGAAGAGGTTTATGTCAGAGTAAAAGAGACACTGTAGACCACACATACCTCCATTTTCCTCTTCCCTGAAGAATCTTTCTTTGCAAGATGCTTGGTATGTTTCATTCTCTCTCTTAGAGCAGAGTGCCTGGGAACAGTGTGAATCACTAAATAAAGTATCAAACACTTCAAAACCAATCTGGTTGCCACACTGACCAAGTTGCACTGTTACTATTGACATGCTGGGCCACAAACCACGCCTATTCCCTCAAAAAAGGTCAGCAATCTGAAATAGAAAAAAAAATACAGATTTAAGAATTACTACAGTAGAGCACTGGTGGCTCACACCTGTAATCCTTGCTACTTAGGAGGCAGGGATCTGAGGATTGAGGTTCTAAGCCAGCCTAGGCATGCAAAGTTTGTGAGACTATATCTCCAATTAACCACCAAAATACCAGAGTTGAGCTATGGCTTAAGTAGTAGAGCACAAACCTTGAGCACTAAAAAGGCCAGAGACAGTGTCCAGGCCCTGCTTTCAAGCAACACACAAACAAAAAGAATCACTACATTACGAATAAGAACAAACAGCTGGGTGCTAGTGGCTGTGGCTCATACCTGTAATCCAAGCTACTTAGAAGGCTAAGATATGAGGATCATGGTTCAAAACCAGCTAGGGCAAGAAAGTCCATGAGACTTCTCTTCAATTAGGCACCAAAAAAAAGCCGCAGTAGAACGGGGTGGTTCTAGTGGTAAAGTGCTAGTCTTGAGCAAAAGAAGCTCAGGGACAGTGCCCAGGTCCAGAGTTCAAGTCCTATGACCTGCAAACAAAACAAAACAAAACAAAAAAAGAATAATATGTCATGTTTCAATTATACATCAATAACAATATGGTATATATGAATTTAGTGTTGCAAATGAAATAGATATGATGTTTAAAGTTCTTTATTTTGCTTTGAGATTTTCTGTACTCAAATCTATTCATACACAGCTGGTGTTTTTGGTTTTTGTTTCTGTTTTGCCAGTCCTGGGGCTTGACCTCAGGGCCTGGGCACTGTCCTTGAGCTTGTTTTGCTCAAGGCTAGCACTCTACCACTTGAGCCACAGTGCCACTTCCAGCTTTTTTTTTTGGGGGGGTGGGGGTCGGTCATGGAGCCTGAACTCTGGGCCCGGGCACTGTCCCTTAGCTCTTCAGCTCAAGGCTAGCACCCTACCACTTGAGCCACAGCGCCACTTCCGGCTTTTTTCTTCTTGCTTATGTGGTGCTGAGGAATCGAACCCAGGGCCTCAGGCATGCAAGGCAAGCGCTCTACCACTGAACCACCCTCCCAGTCCCCTACTTCCAGCTATTTCTGTTTATGTGGTACTGAGGAATTGAACCCAGGGCCTCATGCATGCTAGGCAAGCACTCTATCACTGAGCCACATTCCCAGGCCAGCTCATTATTTTTCAAAACTCTGATTTGAACTCACTGATTTTCTAAATATGAAAATAAAAGATGCTGGCGGAAGGAATTAGTGTACACATTTCACAAAACAAATTAGCTTAGGGGCTGGGAAGGTGGCTCAGTGGTAAGAGCGCTTGCCTTGCATGCCTGAGGCCCTGGGTTTGATTCCCCAGCACCACATAAGCAAAAAGAAAAAAGCCGGAAGTGGCACTGTGGCTCAAGTGGTAGAGCGCTAGCCTTGAGCTGAAGAGCTGAGGGACAGCGCCCAGGCCCAGAGTTCAGGCCCCACGACTGGATCCAAAAAAAAAAAAAAAAAAAAATTAGCTTAAAGGAGCTGGGAAGGTGGCTCAGTGATAGAGTGCTTGCCTAGCATGCATGAGGCCCTGGGTTCAATTTCTCAGCACCCCATAAGCAGAAAAAGCCAGAAGTGACGCTTGTGGCTCAAGTGGTAAAGCGCCAGCCTTGAGCTGAAGAGCTGAGGGATAGCGCCCAGGGCCAGAGTTCAGGCCGCATGACTGACAAAAGCAAGCTAGCAAGAAGCGGGGCACTGGTGGCTCACGCCTGTAATCCTAGCTTCTCAGGAGGCTGAGATCTGAGGATTGAGGTTCAAAGCCAGCTCAGGCAGGAAAGTCCGTGAAACTCTTATCTCTAATAAACCACCAGAAAACTGGAAGTGGCACAGTAGCTCAAGTGGTAGAGCGCTAGCCTTGAGCTAAAGAGCTGAGGGACAGCGCCCAGGCCCAGAGTTCAAGCCCCATGATGGACCCCCACCCCGCCCCCCCACAAAAAGGAAAGCAAGATATTAGCTCAACAACTTTACATATGGTTAACAATATTTTTATGTTCTAAGTAATGACTTTTTTCTTTCCACCAGTCACCTTTCTGACCTGGTTATAAGATTAATAAGAAGGGCTCATACCTGTGCCTGTGGCTCACACCTGTAATCCTAGCTATTCAAGAGGCTGAGATATGAGGATATAGGTTTGAAGCCAGCCTGGGAAGAAAGCCCTTGTGAGACTCTTTCTCCAGTTAACCATTCAAAAATCAGAAGTGGTATTGCAGCTCAAGTGGTAGAGTGCTAGCTTTGAGCACAAAGAGACTCAAGGACAGCACCTAGGCCCTGAGTTCAAGTCACAACCAACACCCCCCAAATTTATTTATTTATTTATTTATTGCCAGTCCTGGGACTTGAGCTCAGGGCCTGGGTACTGTCCCTGAATTTCTTTTGATCAAGTCTAGCACTCTATTACTTGAGCCAGAGACTCTTCCTGTTTCTGTGGTACTGAGGAATCGAACCCAGGGCTTCATGTATGCTAGGCAAGCACTCTACCACTAAAGCCACATTCGCAGTCCTCCCTACCCAACTAATAATAAAAAGGACTCATTTAGTTCAGTTAATACAGCAATGATTGAGCTATAAGACTAAAGTAGATGGGGGTGGAGGGGGGGGGGGCTGGGGTAGGGTACCAGTACTGGGGCTTGAATTCAAGGCTAAGGTGGTGTCCCTGAGCTCGTTTGCCTAAGGCTACTGTTCTATTTCCAGTTTTTTGTTTTGTTTTGTTTTGGTGGCTAATTGGAGATAACAGCCTTATGTACGTTCCTGCCAGGACTGGCTTAGAACAGTGATTGTAGGATTACAGGCATAAACCGCAGGCACTGGGTCTGATCTTATTTATTTATTTATTTTTGTCGGTTGTGGCCTGCGCACTGTCCTCAGCTCTTCAGTTCAAGGCTAGCACTCTACCACTGGAGCCACAGTGCCACTTCGGGCTTTTTCTGCTTCTGTGGTGCTGAGGAATCGAACCGAGGGCCTCATGCGTGCAATACAAGCACTCTACCATTGAGCCACCATCCTAGGCCCCAATCTTTACTATTTTTAACAAAGAAATTAGTAGGCTGGGCGTCAGTGGCTCAGGAGGCTGAGATCTAGAAGTTCATAGTTGAAAACTAGCTAGGGCAGAAAAGTCCTAGAGGATCCATCTCCAATGAATTAGCAAAATGCTGGATTGGAGGTATGGCTCATGGCTCAAGTGATAGAACACCAGCTGTGAGTAAAAATAACCCTAGAGAAGGCTTAAGGTGGAGTTCAAATCCCCAATACTGGCACGCCCTCCCTCAATGCAAAAACAAACAAACAAACAATAAATCCCCACAACAAACTACCCCCCATACAAAATCCCAAACCCAAACCCTCCTCACCAGGTTTATGGAGCACTGGCTTCTGAGCTAGCTGGTTTTCTTAAAATTTCAAACTTGACAAAGTAGGGTTTGAAATTTTAGCCAAGGAGATTGAGAAAGGATTACCTGAGTTTCCCAAGGCTACTGAACCAGTAAATTGAAAAGCCAAAGACTTTCCCCTTCTCCCACCAGCCCCAGGAGCCCACCATCAGCCCCACTCACTAACAGCCCTCGGCCCGCGGTTTCGATCGCGTTCAAACTTTAGACCAACCCTCCCATATGCGCATGCTTACTTGCAACACTCAGAAGCTACCAAGAACGAGTGCGCATGTTCCTTAAACAGCTTTGCTGTGGCTGCACCACCACCCCTCCCGCCCCTTATTCAAGAAGGTAAATTACGCATGTTCCATTTCACTTTAGCAACTTCAGATAAGGTACGCATGCTCACTGTCCATCACACCCTTTAGTGACAATGCGCATGCTCTGACTTCCAGACGTGCTTCAGCCGCTTTTCTGCGCATGATCCTGCCAGTACTTGGACCCTGGAGAGAGCGTCGCGCATGTCCATTGCCCAGAGTTTGGCTTCACGGAACCCTGTACGCATGCTCCGGTCCTGAACTTGCAGAGCCAGTTGGGGCCTAGGCGCAGACGCACTGAGCCTAAGCAGCCAGTGATGGCGGCAGTGGTGGTGGTGGCTGCAGCGGGGCCGGGCCCATGAGGCGACGACGGAGGCGGGACGGCTTTTACACAGCGCCTGACTTCCGAGACAGGGAAGCTGAAGACATGGCTGGAGTGTTTGACATAGACCTGGACCAGCCAGAGGACGCAGGCTCTGAGGATGAGCTGGAGGAGGGGGTGAGGCCCGGGGTCCAGGGGTGGGTGGGAGGCGAGGTGACAGGGCCGGGGCGGCGGCGCGGGCCCGGAAGCCCGGTGTGTCCCGGAGCGCCGAGACCCTCGCGGAGGAGCCGAGCCGCCCGCCGCGCGGCGGAGCCGGAGAGCGGGCGGGGCGGGCCTGGCCCTAGGTGAGAGGCCTCTGCGGGGCTCGCAGGTGCTGGTAAGCGCCCTTATCCTCAGATCGGCGCAGCCCGGAGCAATCTGAGCTGTGTGTGTGTGTGGAGGACGCTGGGCGCGTGGTCGACTCCTAGAGCGAGCTCTCGGACTTGAATGTGGCGGGGCGCAGGTGGAGTGTGGTTGGGGAGCAATGGCAGGTGGGGAGGGGGTGGGGAACTGAGCTTGCTGGGTGTCCCCAAAGTGCCGGTGAAACGCGGAAGGGTTTCCCTCGGAGTGTTAAGATTGCAAGTCTGAAATCATCGGACCTCCCGCAACCACCTCTCTTTCTCGGCCTGTCGCTTCTCTCCTAGGAAGCGCTCAGCTGTTAGAAGTGACAGCTGAAAACTTCTGTCGGGAGTAGCACTGCCGCTGCTGTGACAGCCACCGGGAGTTTTATTTCGGGAGCAAGGGGGCTCTGCTACGTCTTCCAGGGTTGGTTTGTTCGCCTTTTTTTTTTTTTTAAACCCCCTTCCGTGTGACATACTTAGACACACACGTATGCATATGTATAACGACTTACAGCATTTGTAGCTTAATTTTCCCTATGATGAAGATGTCCCTATTTTTCCAGCATATTTTATATGATTTTTGAGGTGGAGGAGAAATGTTGGCAACGGTGGCTAGGCTTGCCAAAAATAAATTGCTTGAGCTGAGACTTGTGAATAATGTGTGTGAGGTCTTCTCTAACAGTAATTTAGAGGGCTAAATTTAGAATCATTTTTCCTAATGCACATACTGTCTTTTAACTTAGATGTCTTTAGTACTTTGTTATTTTTATGGAGTATCTTTTTTTTTTTTCTAAGACAAATGTATTAAAAAAAAATCACAAATTGTACCTGAAGTTCTAAACCTATGTCAAAGCACTGACTTTGGACAGATGACTATCAGTGATAATCTCCTGGTGATTAGATCCTAAGGTCCATTACATTTATGAGTACATGAAATTATGACTGATGTCAGATGTTTTCTATTAACTGCATAGGGTGGCTTCCTTTCTCACCTCCAGTTTTCTTCCTTTGACAAGTAAATTCTGCCTAACTGCTGACAAAATATTGAGACAATGTGTATAATGAACTTTGAACATTATGAAATTAAATGAGATAAAATAGTGTTTTTTCATAACCAAATGAATCTGCCAAAATTACAAAGTTTAGAAGGTAGGTATTGAGATAAGTGCTTTTTAAACTGATACATTTTTGTCTCAAGTCTAATTTCTTAATTGAACATAAAGAACACTAAAAATTTGAAACAAATATAGGATTGCTTTTATTTTATGTACCAAACTCTGATTGATTCCATATGGCAGTGGCTCTCTTGAGTAGTCATGGGGGAAAACTGGATAGGAAGAATGCTTTATAATTCATTAGCTGAACTGATAGAATTTTCAAGTTAGATGTTTATCCTCTTTTGAAAGTAGCGTATGTGTTGAAATTCCTCTTTTGAGCTGAGACCTATTTTTCTTTTTATTCTTTTGATGTGTTTCAGGAACAATAGCGTTCCATTTTTGGTCTGCTCTTTTTTTTTGTACCATTCCTGGGGCTTGAACTCAAGGTCTGTACTGTCTGTGTACAGTCCTGTGTACTGTCCCTGAGCTTTTTCCACTCAAGGCTAGCACTTGACCACTTGAGTTACAGCTCCATTTCTGGCTTTTTGTTGGCTAATTCAAGGTAAGAGTCTCATGACTTTCTTACCTGGGCTGGTTTGGAACTTCGATCTTCAAATCTCAGCCTCCTGAATAGGATTACAGGCATGAAACACTTGTGCCTGTCTTTTTTTTTTTGTTTGTTTTCTGGGTAAAGCAAATAGGATTTTGAGAGTGTGTGGAGGAGGGAATCAGAAAAAATAGAAAAGAGAAATGTGACTACTCTTTTACAGAGAGGATCTTAGTAAGGAGAAAGAGTAGAGGTAATTATAGAGAATCTTGAGAAAAGTCTTTAGTATTACATGTTTTTACATGGCAGTACCTTTGGGAATGGAAATGTTTCTTCTGAGTGCTTTATTAAGAGGACAAGGGAGGGGCTGGGAAGGTGGCTCAGTGGTAGAGCGCTTGCCTTGCATGCCTGAGGCCCTGGGTTCAATTCCTCAGCACCACATAAGCAAAAAGAAAAAAAGCAGGAAGTGGCTCTGTGGCTCAGGTGGTAGAGCGCTATCCTTGACCTGAAGAGCTGAGGGATAGTGCCCAGGTCCAGAGTTAAGGCCCCACAACAGGACCCCCCCCAAAAAAAAAATTAAGAGGACAAGGGAAAAGAGTTCTAATAGGATTTGCTTAGTAACCCAAGGACATTCTGTGATATCCAGGATTACACTGAAATAAAAAAAAAAATTCTTAGTTTGAAATATAGGAATAATTTAGATTCTTAGAATATCTGCCAACATTTCCTCATATGAACTTGTGTTTAGTTTATTGTGTAAACCAAAGAAAACAACAACATTGCTACATATAAGACTAACCTCCCAAACCAGGCCCATGTGGCTCATGCCTGTAATCCTAGCTACTCAGAAGGTTGAGATCTGAGGATTGCAGTTGAAAGCCAGCCTGGGCAGGAGAGTCTGTGAGACTCTTATCTCCAGTTAGCCACTAGAAAACTGGAAGTGGTGCTATGGCTTAAGTGGTAGAGTCCTAGCCTTGAGCTGAAGAGCTGACAGATATCTCCCAGGCCCAGAGTTCAAGCCCTGTAACTGAGCGGGGTGGGGGAAAACTAACCTCCTTTCTTCATTGTACAAGAAAAATGAGGCATAGGCTAGAGAGATGGTAGCTCACAATTGCAGGGTGGTAATGTCCTCAGATTAGAGTGCAGTTTTTATCCACCAACACTCCCTCGGTACTGGGATTGAACCTGAGGCCTTGTGCATGGTAGGTAAGCCCTCTATCTCTGAACTTCATCTCCAACTTTTTCCTTTTGGGGGTGGGTGGGTGGGGGAGTATGTGCAGGATTGCTCCATGTACTCCAAACTAGCCTCCAATTTATGATCCTCCTGCCTCCACCTTGCAAGTGCTGGTCTTACAGGTATTAGCCACTTTGTCCAGCTTGCAGATTATTGGTATAATTTATGATGATATGTGCTTACATGCTGAGAGTAAGCAGCTTTTTTTTGGGGGGGGGGTCCGGTCGTGGGGCCTGAACTCTGGGCCTGGGCACTGTCTCTTAGGTCTTCACCTCAAGGCTAGCGCTCTACCACTTGAGCCACAGTGCCACTTGCGGCTTTTTTCTTTTTTGCTTATGTGGTGCTGAGGAACGGAACCCAGGGCCTCAGGCATGCAAGGCAAGCACTCTACCACTGAGCCACCTTCCCAGCCCTATTGGTAGAATTTATTAGTCTTACTAATATTTTGTCTTTCTGGGGGTATGTCAAAAGTGAATTCCCTTTTCAATGAGAGTTAAGCCAGGCACCAGTGGCTTATGCCTGTATTTCTGTCAACTCCAGAGGCTGAGATTTGAGGTTGAAGTTCAAAGACAGTCCCATCAAGAAAGTCCAATTAGAGCTGGGAAGGTGGCTCAGTGGTAGAGCGCTTGCCTTGCATGCCTGAGGCCCTGGGTTCGGTTCCTCAGCACCACATAAGCAAAAAGAAAAAAGCTGGAAGTGGTGCTGTGGCTCAAGTGGTAGAGCGCTAGCCTTGAGCTGAAGAGCTGAGGGACAGTGCCCAGGCCCAGAGTTCAGTCCCCATGACCGGACCCTTCCCCCCCCCAAAAAAAAGAAAGTCCAATTAACCAGCAAAAAGTCAGAAGTAGAGCTGTGGCTCAAGTAGTAGAGTACCAGCCTTAAGAATAAAGTTACATGACAATGCCCTGGCCTTGCATTCAAGCCCCCATAAAAAAAACCAAAAACACTTTTCAGTGTTGGACATTGAACCCAGTGCATCACACCCATGCTAGGGAAGTGCTAGACTTGGATAATTGACTTCTAGGGGATATGGGGATAAGATCTGTCTTGTAGTCAGCTTGTCCTGGAACTCAGGCTAGTACTCAATTTTTCCTGCCTTAGCTGCCTGCATGTGAAATTACAATTATGTCACCATATCTGGTTTGAGTAATTGATTTAATGAATATCTGGATTAAGGATAATGCCACCCTTTGTGAGTCAGTTTATTTACTTTTTTGTGAAGTTTAAAACTAAGCCTATCAGGGACTTTCCTGTCTGGGTTGGCTTCAAACCTCAGTCCTCAGATCTCAACCTCCGGAGTAGTTAGGATTACAGGCATGAGCCACCAGAGATTGGTTTATGTATTTTTAAAACTTTTCAAACCACCATTCTGTTGGGCTACTTTGAAACAGTGTATCTCATATAGTATCTTAGATGAGCAAGATTGTCATAGTAGCACACAGAAAGGGCATTGAATGAATCATATAGCAGCAGACAAAAAAATCTGAATAAAGAACTTCCTGTGAAAGAATGTCAGTATGTATTATACAACGTTAGCTAGCAGACAAGAATTGTACCTCAAATACTTGTGCTCTCGAAGGTAACGGTAGGAAGTTAAAAGCACAGATGGAGGTGGTGTTACCGGCCTGGCCAGCTCCGGAAATGAAACATAGCCACAGGGCATATCTTGGGAGGTAGCTTCAAAGCCATGCTTCACTGTTAAGTCCTATATGTCTTTAATTTAGAATTAAGTAAAACTAACATTAAAGGAAAAACAATTATGTAATGCCAGTGTTATCATATCTGAAAAAAGTTGGACTTTATTTTTAAGGCATCATCGATGATGATGGAGCAACAGAGACCAAGACAACCATAATCATTCCTACCTCCCCCTGCCAAAACTGGCCATTGAAACCGATAATTACTTTTTTCCCCTTAATAAT